GGAGTTGAGGACATTTAATGATTTTGTGCATTTATGCATTGGGTGGCATTTATGCATGAGAAAGTTTGGTAAACATTAACCTTACCGTAATGACAGTTTATGTCAGGTTCATCCCTGACTTTCAAGATACAAGATTTCTATGTTAGCTCTTATAACTGATAGGTTTTTAAAAGACAGCCCTTTGGGAAGGAATTCTGACTTTTAGAATTTTAGTCTGGAATATTTTTTTCAGATGGGTTAAATAGAATAATCAAGTCATTCTTATTCTTACTCTTTTGGACATTATTCATATCTGTTTATTATTTAAAAAACAAAACAAGAAAAAAACATAATACCATCTCACAAGCTGCTTTGTTGCTACAAAATCATTTTTTGATGATTTATGCAAATTTCTTATTAGACCTGTGAATTATAGAGCACATCCTTTGCAAGGCTTTCAATATCAGCAGCTGTTGTGTGAAGTTGCTATATGAATATAATAATAATAGTAGTTGTTCAGCATTATGAAAAAAACTATTCATATTCTAAGTGAAAAATATGAAGATAATCTGACAGAAAACCACCTGCGGACCTGGTCCTGTCTCCTTTTATTTCTTCTGTTTTCTACAAAGGATCTGAGTATTTATTTAAAGTGCTTTAGCAGGATATCCCAGTTAAAGCTCTGACAGTTTATTTACAGTTCACTTCTGCCCGGGGGCAATTAAAGGCAGATTACAGGATAAGTAAGGTGACTCCCAGGCAAGAGGAGGAGGATGTGCAGTAGGATTATTAATGTTGAAATGAATCTGGGTAGAGTGACATGTCTGCAATAGTACTATGTGTTCATAATTTCACAAGAATTCATGTGCACAAATCTGGAATTCTTATCAATTCTTTATTGTAAATGAAACTAAAATTTAAAGAGAAGGAGTACAGAGGATGCACAAAGATCTACATGACAGTATTAAAAAGTATTCTTCCAGCACAAAGACATCTAATCCTTGTTTGTCAAACTATTCTGTCTGCTTGAAAAATTGGCCCAGGGCCGTAGGGCTTCAGGGTAAGGGAAGAGACGGAAATAGCAGAAGAGGGGGCAGCTGCCATTTGGGCTGTCGGATTTGAGTATTTCTTTTCTTCCCCAAGTACCTGGCCTTCTGCTCTGGCTTTCACGCCAAAGCATGGCTATGCGTCCACTCTGACCAGTGTTACTCATTCATTGTTGTAAGCAGTGCTTGCTTTGTACTTTGCCAGTACAAAGCAAAGGAGGCACCCACATGCTTGTTTGTTGGCTTTTTGTTCAGCCCACAGTGACCCCTGTACACGGTGGCTACTGTGTCCTGGCGTTTGTCTGCACTGGGAGGTTCAGCTCTTTCACTTATCTTGCCCCTCCTAGTCCCTGAGTTTCAGGGCTTATGTGCCCATGAAATGCTCTGCTTTCCAGAATTCAAATATGTTAGTCAATTTGATTGATTTCTTGGTGAGTTCCATTTGACTTAAGAGAAGCTGACTGAAAAGTTTTCTCAAAACCCTAATTAAAAATATATGGTACCATCCGTATAGTGTTCTCGTCTTAAATATCTGGCCCTGGGGAAGAGCCACTCATGAATAGTGATGAGCCATGTGGGAGATGCAACAAGAACACAAATCCCACTTCAAGTTGAAAATATATTAACTGGTAATACTTGGTATTAGATTCTCCTGAACACATTTGGGGAATTCTGAATTGAGCACCACAATGCCAAGAATCAGAACTTGACTTTTACCAAGAGACATGGTAAAAACAAACATAACACTCTTTCAACATAGTATTTTAAGATACTTAGATTACACATTGAAAAAATTAATTCTGTATCAGTTGAAGCACCGCTAAGGAGAAAAATTCTTGGCCAGTGAGAAACAAAAACCTCCTTCCCGCTCCTCCCTTTTATCTCCGCTCTCACTTTCCTTCCCCTTTTCTCTCCAAGTGTTTGCATGGATTCTTTCAAAATATGTATTTTTGGTTTCTGTATGTATCTTCATGTAATTTTAGATTTATATATAGGATATTAGTACATTAAGATGTTTCATTTTGCTGCTTCTTTAGTCATTTGTTTTTGAAAATCCCCATTCCCTTTTCTCTGTGCTCCATTGCTTTAAGCACTGCCCAGTGCTACCTGGCAGTTGTATGCCACATGGGTGTAGTGAGTACAAACACAAGCCCAAGTTTTGAAATGACCACATTCCATTTTGTTTTTTTAAATCGGGTTGCTTGTGTCAATCTGGTGTTTCAGTGCTGTGCTGAAAAATTTTAGCAACAACACATAAGCTATCAACTAAACTAAAATATGAAATTTGTATGGACAGGTACGCACCAGCGAAACCCAGAGAAACATCCCTTATTCAGAACCATTCCATAGAATGCTATAACCACCCTGGGGAATTTTGTTTAGGAAAACATTCAGTGTGACTCAGGGGCAGAAGGCATGCCTGGTGTCATGTTTGACCTGTCATCTTTGTGAGCCACTGTTCCAGGAAAATACTGCGACAATCCACCTTGCTCTATAGTAGTTCAGGTCCCATGATGAGCCTCTGAGCCTGCAGAGTAAACATGCAACTGTGGCCAGTGCCTTTGACGTAGGTGGCGAGGTGGCATGGCCGCTCAGGCAGAAGTGGGGAAACCCCGCCTGAGCCCTGTGAAAGTTTGCAAGTTAGATACATGGCACTATACACCTTATGTCACTGAAATTTTGTTCCAGCCACTCGCTGAGGAAACCCCATCACCATACAAATACCACGTTCACTCAGAATTATCGTACCTCTTTGCTAAAAAGTCTGATAACCTCGACACCCTATCTGAGAGCTTCTTCCTGCATTCCAAGGCCTGGATGACCTGACCCCGCCCTTTCCCACTGATCAGAACTCGAAAGGAAGCAGGGTCTTACGCTCGCTAGGGCCTGGATTCACATTCTTGCTTCATCACTTAGCTGGGTGACCTTGAAGATGTTCCCTAAATCTTCTCTTCCTTTGAAATTGCCTGGTCTACAAACAGGCGCAATGTTTGCTGTGTTTGGTGTGAGAATTAAATGGGATAATAAGTGTAAAACACTTGGAAGCATGGGAGGCACGTGGCAAGCACTTGGTAAATGTTGTCATTTAATCCACTAATATCCTTCCTCTCTTTCCCTCCCAAACCCTCCCACAAACAACGTACAATTGTCAGCTTCTTGACTCTTTGTTATTCGCCACCTGAGTTATACTCCTTTCTCTGCCGTCTGTCTAAATCCCGCCTGTTCTTGCCCTGTCCCTAGAGCAGCGATTTTCAGTCCGTGTGCGGCCGCAGGCACACCGGTGTGTGCCACGAGGATTTTTAAAACATGCAACACCTGACTAATCGGGGCACTGCTCTGTTTCCTTAGATTGTCAAGTAGAAAGATGATAACACAACAATAGCCATCCGATGTCAATGAATCAAAATTATACCCATTTTTTGGTCAGGTCAGCAAGAAATAGATTTCTTGGTGTGCTGCAGAATTGTAGTAAATGAGCTTGTGTGCCATGAGACGAAAAAGGCTGAAAATCGCTGCCCCGAGCACGGCCCTGGCAGCTCCTCCAGGTGCCCTCGCCGCCTCCTCGCCGGCCGGGCGCCTTTCCCAGCGCCCGCATGACTCCGCCCCTTTCACGGGTGTTCATCGTGCCTCCGAAAGGGCCCTCAAGGCTTTCGAGTGCAGACGCCTTTTTTTTTTTTTTTTTTTTGTTATTCTTTAGTTCCATGGAAAAGAAAATCTCTGATGTCAATATCGGGAATCGTCGTGCTTTTTAAAAACTTGGTTTAGCCCCGACTGGTGTGGCTCAGTCGGTTGGCCCCGCGAAGTGCAAGGCCGCTGGTTCCGTTCCCGGTCAGGGCATATGCCTGCGTTGCGGGTTCAGAGGCAACCTGTCGATGTTTCTCTATCGCCTCAATGTTTCTTTCCCTTTCTTTCTCCCTTCCTTCCCCTCTCTCTAAAAACAAATAGATAAATAAATACCATTGGTTTCATTTTCAGTTTACAAGCACTTGTATCTAATTGTATTTTTATTTCCCTCTTTGCATTGACTGCTGGAGAGCTCAGGGCCAAGGTTGAGGTTTCCATCTAGCAGATACATTGTACTTCATGGCAAGTGTTTTGTGTACAAATCTCACCCCATCTTCATATGATTAATTTTCAGTGCATGTATCTGTGACCCTGCCTTGTCCTCGTTTTAAGCCCTGATATGTTATCTTTATTTTGTAAGCATCTTCCATCCTTTGGGGAACTAAGGAGGGCACAGAGTACATATCTTACTTTGAAGGAAAACGCAGGAAAGACAGGAGCCGTCGGTGTTCAAGACAGACCTAGATTCAAAAAGCCCCTTCACTACTTGCCCTCGCAGTAGCCTTGGGCATGTTGTCTCTACTCTCTGAACTTGCGTTTCCTGCCCAACTGAGGAGAAAATGAACCTCCCTCATGGGGTAGATGTGCTGTGCAAATGAGATCATGTGCAGTAAGTGCCAAACACAGGACCTGGATCTGGATGCTGCCGTTAAATATTAGTCCTTTCTTTTATCTTCCAGTGGGTCTTTAAAAAGTAAGCTATCCTGCCCAGCCAGTGTGGCTTAGCTGGTTGGGCAACAACCCACAAACCAAAAGGTCATGGTCCAGTTCCTGGTCAGGGCACATGCCTGGGTGGCGGGTTCAGTCCCCAGTCAGAGTGCCTTCCAGTGTGCACATAAAAAGCAACCAGTCAATGTTTCTCTCTCATATCAATATTTCTGTCCCTCTCTTTCTCCCTCCCTTCCCCCTCTCTAAAAAATAAAACAAAATAAAATATTTTAAAAGGAATGCTGGATCCCTGGTTGTTGGACAGTTAAGATTTTATCTGACAAAGGCTCCCTGATATTCACCACTCGCTCCCTGGAGGTCAAAATTCCCTCTGCTGGCTCTGCTGGGATTGGGATGCCATGTGTGGGCTAAACTTTGTGCTTTCTGTCTGACCTTGCTGTTGCCTTGTTTTTCCCTCTTTAGCCTTGTAGCGGGGCCTGGGAGGCTGCATCCTGTGGAAAGATGGAAGATCAGATGACAGCTTCCGGTCAGGCTCGGAAATATGTGAACCCCTTCTCAACCCGGACTCTGGTCATGTGAGACGCTCCCAGAGAAGCATTATGGTTTTCAGGACACTTCGGAGCGGCTTAGGATGTTCCATTCCTCTACATGAAACTTTTCATGAATGGGAGAAGAACCTATTTTTGTTGTGGTACAACAGTTGAGAGCAGCACCAAGTGCAGTTTAGGAAGATGAAATCTTATCGGATTTCACCCAACTAAAAGGATTTTAAAAAAATAACAGTCTTACCTAAATTATTAGGTAATGAATTGTAGCCAGTTGTTAATATCGTAGTAAAGATTTTTTTTAAAACATAAAGCAATTTATCTGTATTTTAGAAGATCCAGCAGTCCCATATTTTTTCATGATGAGGTTTTTGAAATTTTACAGACAAAAAAATCCTCCAATATTTCACTTTTCTCAATCACTAAACACAATGCATTACTATAAATGTTGGTTTGAATACCAGGGAGAAACTAATCAAGATTGTAAATGCTCATTTATGGTTAGTAACATTGGAGGTACATTTATTGTACTAAACCATTTCATGAGTTTTTTTGTTAGCTTGCTCTAAAAGTTACCATTGTATGAAATAGTTTTATAAGAAAATTATATTTTTATTCAGTAATTTAATTTTGTAAATGCCAAATGAAAAATATGTTTTGCTGCTACAGTCTTAGCCTGTAGACATGCTGCTAGTGTGAGGGGGCAGTAGAGCTTTGAACACAAGGAGAAGAAACTTGGTGTTAGGTAATTGACTATGCACTAGTATTTCAAACTTTTTTACTTTTTATATATAGTTTTTTTTCTTTTTGTAATACTTTGGAAAACTTATTTGGGAGACTTTTGCATTTGTTATTGGTTTTGTTGTTGTTGTTGTTGTTACTCTTGGTTTATAAGAGCATGTGTTGCACTTCTTTTTTTTTTGGGAGATCTATGTTGGTGACGTTCTATGTTTTATTGGGAGTTTACCTGCCTCTTCTTTAATTCAGGAGTGATGATGTGTTGTCCCCATGGTTTTCAAGTGCCTGGTTTAGAACTGCCACACATAACCTGTGTTTGCAGCGGGTGAAGGGAGTCTTGGTAGTCTTTTAAAAATATTTGGTGCACAGTGGTGATCCCAGACCTATCAATATGGCGACCTCAGAAATATTGATATGTACTAACTGCCTCAGAATGAAATAAAGCTATGCCCTTATTTTACTTATCTTTGACGTCTCTCTTACTTGCGATTATGGATGTTAATTATACTTTTTTAAAAATGCAGTGAACTCAGACTTCTTTCTTCTGTTCATTGGTATACCCTCTGAACTTCACATGAAGAAGCCCAGAATCATTGCTTTGGAGAAAGAAGCACAAGAGTACCAAGTTCAGTAGTGCGAGCAGTGTTCACACTGGGAATATCCAAGGAGGGTTCATTTACAAGGGTACTGATACCACACACGCGGGCAGGGACCAGGAGGACCACGGGGGTAGCGCGCGCCCATGGGTGCCATCCTGAAGAACGCTGCCTTGTGCAGGGGGAGAGTCCGAGAACATATGAGTCCATGGGAGAAGTCATGGCCTTTGGAGGCCTTACAGGGGCAGCCAAGTGTAATCCTTAACTTTCCTTCCCCTTCCCTCCCATCTCTGCCAAGGGTTCTCCTCGTTGGCAGGACCAACCAGAAGTTAGAGAGCAGCTGGATGTAAGTCTCCGAGGGCAGAGCCAAAGGACATGTATCTGCTGGAGCAAGGACAGAGCGACCCAGTCAAGTCATCCAGTCCAGCTCCCTGTTTCCAGATGAACTTCCCCTGGCTCCCATGTCTCAGCTCAGTTTTTTTCACTGTACTACAATATGCCTTTCACATGGGCTCCTTATAACTTCCTTTCATCATTTTTTCTCAACTCGGACTTGGAATTCTCCTATACATGATGCACTTGGTGTCCCTAGAGCCACAAATTTGTTTCCCCTCATTAACAGTCTTCAAAATTTTAGTATTCTTTCATTGCATTTCTGATAGATAACACACCATCCCAGCATTAGGAAGCTTTCTATATTCATGCACTCTTAAAGAATTTTCCAGGTGCTGATTCTGCCACTTACTAGCACTTTGAACTTGGACAAATCACTCACCTCTGTGCCTTTTTTCTTCATTTGTGAAATGAATTCATTCTTCCAATGAACTCTGGTTAAACAATGCACCATATAAATGTTTGTTATTAGATATGCTTTCCATAATTAAGTGATACATGTAGTCTATCAAGACAGTCTATCAGTAATTCACCTGGCTGATAACGTGCATTGCCAATTACAGAATTAAACTCAGGGGTCATATTATTACTAGTAATCTAATGGCAGGATGAACCCAGCATTATACAGAACTGAAGTAAATATGTACTTTTCCAACAAGTAGGTAAGCCAATAACTAGAAACTAAAAACCTAAACTAATGAAAAGTAGCATAAATTTAGGTTTTAGATACAAATACTCACATTCATGTAACTCCCATTTCAGAAGCATGTCTAAAACATCTATTTATCCTGATCACTTTTTAAAATCTTCCTGCTTTCTACAGCAGAGAATCCAGTAGTAAAATAAATTGAAACAATATTACTTACTACTCAAAGAAATGTGGTCCTTTTGAGTTATTATGTGTAAAGCTGTGTCCATGTGTGCAAATCTGGAGAACAGGATAGACACTGAGAAGATTTTGAATTATCTCCCAGCCACAAGTGAGGCTGATAATCCAAGATGAGAAATACATACAGTGAAGAACTTTTTTGTTTCATTAGAAATTATATGCTATTAGAACTGGAAAGGACCTTAGCCATCGTAAGGGGCTTCTAATAAGGGGCTCACCACTTTGCTTTATTGAAAGAAAATCCATTTCGGAGCCCAGCCAGCCTTGGTTCAAATTCAGACTCTGCTCTTTACTGGCTCTGTGACTTTGTATGACTTTTACTTAATCTCTATAAGCTTCTTTTTACTTATATTGGAGATAAAAGTACACCTCGAGGTTGTTGGGTATTGTGATTACATGAGATATTACATGTATTCTTGAATCCTTGTAAAATGTTGCAGTGGCTATTGATTGGACAAGTCACTGTAATGACTGGTAATCAAAGGAAAAACATGTCTATTGCCGACCAATGGAGAGGTGAACACCACTGAGGCCCATGTCCCTGATTGAGTGTTAAATTTATTCTTTGTATGAAAACTAACTTTAAACCTATGTTATATCTTCTTAAAATATTCATAATCATTCTAATATGTATTTAAATATGTGGGGAACATGGCGTATAGTTTGTCTTAAACTTGTTGGTTTCTAATTTGCAAAAAAATAAAAAATAAAACCTAGTAGATAAAATGTGATGTGCAGGTCAATTACACTGCACCTAAAATACAAGTTTTGGTGCTTATTTTACTCCTTTAACCATTGCTATTATAAAATAAAGTTTTTATTATTCACCATTTTTAGAGGGTAGAATTGAGTAAAGGAACTTGGCTAAAATGCAAACCTTTTTTAAATTAAACTTATTGTGGTGACATTGGTTAATACAATTGTGTAAGTTACAGGTGCACAGCTCTATAATACATCACCTATATATTGCGCTATGTTCACCACCCAGAGTCAAATCTCCGGTCACTGTATATTTGACTCCCTTTCCCCTTCCCACCTCCCCCACCTCTTTTCACCACACTGTTGTCTGTTTTATTTGTTCATTTGGCAAAACTGTTATCCACAATTTTACAAAGTAACTTTTTGTTGTTTACTTGTCTACAATTTTACAGAGCAACTTTAGGAACAAGCAAGAGAAAGCTGAACTGTAAGTTTCAGGGAACTTGTTAATATTTTGGTGATAAATAGGTAAGAATTCTTTCAAATCAACATTCAATGCAAATGTCCTTAATGCTAATGTAGAAATTGGAGACATTGATATTTGCCTCTGGGAACATACTTCTTTTATTCAGTTAGTATGTGTTCAGCACCCACTGTGTGCTAAGTACTATGTTTGAAGTTGGGGTAGAGCTCAGAACAATGTAGATTTTTTAAAAAATCCTTACCAACTGTGAGCTTCTGTTCTGCTGGCAGCTACAAACAAGTAAGTGGCTAATTATGGTATGGTTGTAATAGAGGTAACAGGGACCCATGGGAGCATCAGATCTAGACTTGGAGGAACAGCACAGGTTTCCCACAGGCTGGGCCTCTAGCAGGACTGACAGCTAAAGGCAAGCTAAAGGAGGGGCTTGAGTCAGAGGGAGCAGCAGGGTGAGGGTAGCCTCTGAAATTTGCAGATGGAAAACACCCAAATACAATGACTTGTCTTATTTCAAATTCATAAATGACAAATTGCAGATGGGAACTCAGGCAATCCTGCCTGAGGGTGTCATCTGGTATATTCTTTTCCCCATACTCCAGACAACAAGCTTCATACCCCTTCTTTTCTAATTCTCCATTGCATCTCCATCCAATGCCCAGCCAATAACCTTGACTCATCCACCCAGGAGATCATAGGAGTATTCACCTTCCCACACCAAAGCCATCACAGACCTACACATGTCCTGAACTCATTGCCTTCCATCTGGTTAGGGTGGATGAGCACCCCCAGCTGCAGCCACTGGCCAGCCCTTCCACTGGGCCTCTACGGAGCTATCCCCTAGTACCCTCCAGGGCCTCATTCTGCAGATACTATCTCTTTCTCCTAGATCATAATGTCTTCCTCTCTCCGGAATCATTCTTACCACATTAACAGGGTCTGCATCTCCCAGCAGTAAAATATAATCCCCACTTTATTGCATATCACCATCATACTGATCCATATATCCTCTCCTCTTCTCAGCACGACCACATGCAGGGGTGTCCAAGCTGCAGCCCACGGGCCACATGCAGCCCAGAATGACTGTGAATGCGGCCCAACACAAAATCATAAATTTATTTAAAACATTATGAGGTTTGTGTGTGTGTATGATTACACTTTGCAATGTATTTAATGTGCGGCCCAAGACAATTCTTCTGCCAATGTGGCCCAGAGATGCCAAAAGTTTGGACACCCCTGGA